CTTATAAACATATTTAGAAAATATGTTCGTATTATATTATATCAACACGTAGCCATGTACACGGTGTATTTCAATGTATTCTTGAATATCTGCACCTACAGATGGATGAAATACTTAAAAACAGTGTTGTCCTCACAAAAATAAAAATTACATTAATGGCTTTTAGTTTGTTCTACACGATTGAAGATGTAATTCAAATCATTGACAAGATTCATATATGCGCAGACTAACAAAGTTTTAACTTCGACTCATATTTATAATGGTACCCAATGCCTTTACACTGACAATATATTTCAAATGCAATAAATTAGAAAATAAAAGGTAAACTTTTTATTTTTAAAGTCACTTTGAAGCGAATGTAATGTTTTTCAAATAACGCTTTTTGGATATGTGTATCTGGATCTTCAGCCGTTAAAACGTAAGTTTATAATTGTTTAATGGGTTAGATCTTTATAAAATCATTAGTATTTCGAAAATATTACGTTATTTATAGAAGCTGTTAAAATTGCTTAACAATAAACAATGCCTTACATTTAAACCAGATACCATAATTTTGAAAATATTTATTCAAAATTTTAGTCTTCTAAAAATACCGATAAATTTCGAAAACATCCCTGTAAGGTAAAACCAGAATTGCGAAAACTTGGTCTCAGCACTGATAATATTTAAAGATATCATACAAAAGTAGCTATATATGCATATGTAGATGTATATACTCACGTACTTTACATTATTATCATAAAGAAAATATGTTTTTAATGAAAAACAGAACACCAAATAATAAAAGTGAAAAAAGGGAAAGAGATTGAGAGAGAGAGAGAGTAAAACAGAAAAAAATAATAAGAAAAAAAACCACACCTCATTATTTAATTGCATGGTAGTCACCTGCTTTGATGAGTTCTACAAACTTTCATAAAAACGTATACAAATATTATTATCATATTGTTATATATAATGTTATGCCATTGCCATGCCAAAGCAACAATAATAATTATATTTTTGTATGATATGAACATAATACAACCGTTTGTATTATTATATTTGAATAAGCTGTATGAATGTATATAATATGTACGTATATTATAATACTATATATACGTAATTATGAACATAAATTGAAAATTTTTGCATTTTTATACACATAATATGTAGGTATATATTATTATGTAAGTATATTGCATATAATATAAGTTGAGTGGGTATTATATGATAAGCATCCAATAATAATAAAACTGAAATGCTAGACAGTCAGTCAACTAACCATCCAGACGATATTGTATTGCCTTCAGGAAAAAAACAATTCAAATTTTTATTCATGATAATATTCCATAAGAGCCTGACAAACTATTTTTATATAAGCACATAATACTCGTAAATATCATATGTACAATGCATTTTTGTATATATCTACATACAATTGCATATTCTCAATATACATATCAGATAATAATTTGTAGATAGATAAGTAGACATATACTTTTATATATAACATTATTTATAGATAATGAATATATTTTCAATATTCAATGGTTATGTTAAAAAATCTTAACTCAAAAAACTTTGCAAAAAAAATTAATTCACAATAATAATTTATACATATGTATCTAGGTATGTATGCATATGTATGGATGTAATTATATTTATTAAGTATTTAAAAAGTTTTTTTTTTTTGTTAAATTCAGGTAGGTACATTAAATGAAATAAAATTTAATGTGACTTGTACAATATTCATAAGGTACATATGAATGCGGGTTACATGTGCCTTAAGGTCGATAACCATATGCTTTGAATGCGCTCTTACGTTTCTACCCAATTTCCTGGGTGGAGCTGGATGCTGGCATGCAGACCTAATCTTCCACAGCCATATTCTGAAGTCAATGCTTCCAAGATTGTCTGAGATACTAAAGCTATTAAGATATTATTCAGGTTGGAGCTCCACAAGAAGTTTTGGGTTGAGTTTATACCCTGAGAGAAATGTTAATATAGTTAGCTGTATTCACAAATTGTTCCCAAGACAGGAACGGCGTCGTTTATGGTGTTTATTCCAATAAGCAAAGTGTAGCCGTTTGATGTCCTTTGCCCAACAGTCCCAGTGTATTCAAGATTCGCCATGATTGTATGGTGAAAAATCCGAACGAATTAACTGGCCAAAATAGGGACGGTCATGAATAGCTCAGCAACAAAGCAAGTTTTGGTCCCCATTAAAATCACTATTTAACACCATCATTTAACACTACTATATTTAACTATTTGCTATAATTTGCTGAAAGTATTTCGAAAAGTTTAATGATATACGAGATGAAGGAGATACGTCATAAATATGATCGAAATGAAGCGGAAGCAATTCTTGCAATAACTAATACCCATAAATTGATATATAATTTCCATCAAATCAAATCTTCTTGACCTATTGTTTCAATTAAGAATTCATATAAATTCGAAGTTATAGTATTCTCTTTATTGATCATTAATGTTTCCTTTAAATGAAATTATAACTCAATTTTAAACTCAATTTACATATTATATTTTTGAAATCGTCATAACCATAACCACGACCACCAACATATATACAGTTTTCCTTTAGAACATCATTATTATTTTTTTAAAAAACCATTTTTATAAATATTTTTCAAATAAAAAATAAACATTTGAATGCAAATGACATTTTAGAGAATCGTTAAAAAAAAGGGACTGACACTTAAATAATTTTTTCATTTTATTATTTCTTTTTTTCTGTTTTTTATTTAATATTATGTACATATAATATGTAAATACATATTTTCCAGATACTCTTACCTGTCTATACCTCAAACAAACCTGATTATTTACCTACCTTCATTTTGAAATTATTGTCTATATATTGGGTATTTTGTTAAAGTAAAATCCGATTACAAGTTTATACCCATATTACTTATATTTTATATTACCAATAGTCAAACAAACCAAAAATATGTACATATTATATTATTTGTATGTATGTACACAATAATAACCATACAAATATAATTATAATATATACATAATATTTACATTTTCATATCTATGATGTGAAGAAAACAAGAAAAAAGAAAAGAGACAGAAAATATTTATTTGTAACGTTTCTTGTCTCTTTCTAAAATTTTCCCTTTATTTTTTTTTGCAAAAATAATTTCTTAAGTTCCCGCACCCACTAACAAACATCTTTATATAAAAGGGCGAAAATTTTGTAGAAATGGAAACAGATTTTTTTGTTTCTTTTTTTTTTTTTTTTTATTTGAAACGGAAATTCAAATGAACATTTCCTAAATAGACTCTAGAGGGTTATACAAGAAAATTTTACGTTCCAACAACCTCTAATCTTTACCAAAACCCTTGAAAAAATAATTTCGAATTTAAAATGCTTATGTAAAAGGTCCTCTGTAGAAAAGTTTTTTTTTAAAACTTTTTTTTTTGTTCTTTTGATTTTTGTTTTTTAGTACTTTTTGAATTTTTGTTGTTGTATTTTTTTTTTTTGTTATTGTCAAATTTTAGAATGTATAATTTCGTATTTTGTGTACAAACATTTTATTGTCATGCATGTATTCATGCAATTAGATATAAGATTCATGCACAGAGTGTTACCAATACTCATTGGAAATAAAAAATTATTGTAATACTCGTATTGTTATAATAATGTTATACGAGTACATATTATACATACTGTAATAATTTGTATAGTTATACACTATTAGTGAGATTAAAGGTAAAAATTTGTGTAAATAATGCAAAACTAAGTTTAACGACAATTGCATAACAACAAGGCCATTGCAACAAGGACATTGCATAAAATTTTTCCAAATATGTGCAGGAATGTATTTCTTAAAAAGTAAATAATACAAACCGATGTCAAACCGAAATTTAGTAGAAATTTTAATAGTTTCTTTTAAATTACATTTCAGTGTGAGGCCAACTAATTTTCAATCAAAGTTGCTATAAACTCTTTAGCGCTATTTTAAAGTTGAAGCAAAATAATTTTTGGGTTGACCGCAAATAAATTACATTATTTTTTAAAAACAGCGTTAATAGAGTCCAGCGTTAAATATTTCGAATAAAGCTAAAGATTTTTGGATTCTCAATAGACGATGTGTAACACCTTGCTCGTTAAAATGTTATACTGCATAACAATATATTGGTAAAATTCTTAATAACCGGAAGGATTCTTTTTTTTTTTTTGTTTTGTTTTTCTATATTATACATGTAGATTTTTATATCCGGCATGAAAGAATGGGTACAATTTACTTTACGAACCAATATATATATATTTTTATATGTATGTAAAAAATTTTAAGGTCTGCCCTCAATAAAATATAATTTCACACTTAACATGCCCTTAACATGTATTTACATATATACGCACACTTGTGTGTTATTTATATGTTACGTATGTACAAAACATACATGTTAAATTTATATTTATTATAGTAATAGTGTATTATTATTCAGAAAATAGAAGGAATTTAAGGTATACTCACATATACATATATGTAGATATGTATACATATTAACAAAATGTATCTATAAATTTAAAATATCAATAAAATAAAAAGAAAGGGTATTTAAGCCTTTCGGCAATAATTTTGGAAAATGATGAAAAATTGAAGAAATTTTTTAAATATTTTATTCAAATTTCATTATAAAAAAGAAAAATATTTTTCTCCATATTTTTAAAAAATTATATGTGTATATAAAATATAGGAGGAAATATTTAAAAATGGACATTTTATAAAAATGTATGTATACAGAATTGTAAACAAACAATAAGAAGTTATTTTGGTATTTTTTTTTTCTAAAGAAAAACATGGTACAAAATTTTAAATAATATTAATGAAAAAGGAATTCAAAAGAATATTTTTGAATTTACAAAAAATCTTTTATCTTGTAGGTGTATTTTATGCATATTTAATATTAAAACAGACATTGTCATGTGAGTATATTCACAGTATATTTAATGTGATATGAGAATAAAATTAAAATATACTTACATCTGACACTTAGATAATAACCAATACTTGAATATTGAAAATTCAAATGCCTTGAAGTGCACTTATACCAACCGGAATGTTCTCTTCTTATTGATGTAAAATTAAGAAAACCATCACCAGATTGTGGTACCTGTAAAGGAGGAAAATGAAAAAAAAAATTAATATTCAATTAAAAAAATAAAAAATATTTTTTTTTTTAAATTAAAAATAAAAATATTTAAAAATTATTGGTGAATACCAAATTATTGATTATTTATATTGAATTAAAATCTTGTCCATAGCTTTAAGCTCTAAAGAATTTTATTTCGAGAATTTCGATTTGTATTTAATATTCAAGCAATAATGACGTCACAATTACATTAAATTATTAAATATAAAATTTTATTAAATGAATATTTAAGAAAAAAAAAATATAGGTGTTTATAAGGGCTTCATTACATTAATGATGAAAAACTTTTACAAGAAAATTTATTTTTAGATCAAAGTGAAAATTAAATGTATTTTCAGAAGTGAGATTTATGAAAAATAAATTTTGTTTTTAATACTCAAATAATTTTAATCATATATACATATATATACATATATATAATATAAGGAAGTATTCCAAATCAAAGTAGGTGTCAATGATTGTGTTATATTATGATACAAGGATACAAATAGTAAGAGAAGTGGTTCTATTTTAATGTAATAAAAATGTTGATTAAATTTTTGAAGAACGTTCACATTTTAATGAAATCATTATAGATGAAAAATATACTATGTGTAATAAATGTGACTTAATGAAAAATAAAATTAAGGAGCACAACTTCAAAGAAATTTTTTATATTAGAATGAATTTTAACAGAATGATCCAAAGTATACTATTTTTAACATCATTGTAGAAGATTAACCGAAGAATCTCTAAATTTTACTGGATTTTTTGTTGCTAATTTATTTTGTAATTCAAAGCTACATACATAATATTTATATTAGTACATATTATTTAATTTACATTACCAAATTATACGGAATAATTACAATTCAAAAAAAAAATACAGGTTTACTCAACTCTGTTATACCCATGCTAACTATGTGCTGAATAGTCTCCGAAATATGGCCAAATAACTTTTGAAGTTCCCAAAAGTTATATAGAAAACCAGTTCCTTGATTTGTAAAAATTTAGTGAGCTAAGCTCAATGAGTTTTTGAGTTATCGTTAAGACGTCCGTCTAGACGTAGATAGGCGGACAGACATGGTTTAATCGACTCATAATTCGATGCTGATCAAAAACATACACTTATGACTGTATCTCAGACCACTATATCTTAACGTTACAAACGGTAGGGCAAATTTATTATAACCTTTGAACACACGTTCGTACGGGTACAAATTGTATGGGTGTAGCAAGTTTCCAAAACTAATGCAATATTCTACATTCTAGAAACTAGAACATCAAATATTTTAAAGGTATAGTTATATATTCTGAATTTTAGCTTTTGAAATTTAGAACGATTACGAAATTTTATTTTTCTAAAAAAAACTTCGATCAATATAAAATTTTATTAGTAATTTAGAAATGAAATATTATTTGGTACAAATAAGAAATTAATAATCTGCTATTTCATTTGGGTGAAAAGTCGTAATAATAGTAAGCACAATACATTGCAAAATATATAGTCAAAACTGCGCTCTATTAATGTACATAAAGAAATGTTGCGATCTTATTTAGTTGATAAGCATTTTGAAATTGTAATGAGGACAATTTAACTGGAGCAAATCATCTGTACTGCTTTGTTTTTTACACAATATTACCAAAAATAATATATTGGACATATGTTTATCTCGTTTTGTTGTTTTGCTTCATTGGTTTTATGAACATCTTTAATAACATATTCCCAGTTTATTAAAAATTTTAAAAATAATTATTTACATTCTACTTATATGTATATAAACATTAATTTCATTAACAACCATAACATTGTTCAATCCTTTAATTTTATTAGAATAGATACATTGGAATTTATGTACCAAAAATAGGCGGCGTTTTCGATTACAATGCTAATCACATCATAGATATTGTACAACACATGATGCGTTTGAAACATGATGTCGCGTAAGTATGATGATAATTTAAAAAAATCAATAAATTCAACAGCAGTAAAGTTTTATAAAGTAGTTGCTTAATAAAGTACGCACGAAATAAATATTTTTTTTAGCTAAGCAAATTTAAAATTTATTTTAAGATACAAAAAAAAAAATATTTAACAACAAAATATTTTCTCGAGACACAACAATTTTTTTTTCTCTTTTAACTCAAAAAAAAAATTCTAAAGCTTTTAAAAAATAAATTTTGTTCTATTGAAAAATAAAAATTTTGAATTTAATTAAAAATTTTTAATAGAAAACTTTAATTTAAAAAGCGTATGTTTTAAGTAAAACTTCACTAAAAATAAATTTGAAATTTTAATTTTTTTTTTTGTTTTCAATTACTTTTGAATGCAACAACAAACAACAAGCTTAACATGCAACTTTAAAAGGAAATTTTTCAAAATTATAAACCGTTGTTGTTGTTTTTTTTTCGTATTCCTTTTAAATAAATTATTAATAAAGTAGCGTTTATGGATGCGTTAATATGCTATTCGCGAAAATACAAAATATTTTATCCGAAATTCAAAAGATGAAATGAGAAACTTTTTTTGTTTTTTTTTCTCTCTCTCTCTTAAATATTTTTTGCTTTCATGAATTCTTTATCAGAAACTATAATTTTATTTGAAATATATTTTGTATATTTTAATAATATTTTTCATTAAAAATTATTTACAATTATACAAAAATTTTATAAAATATAAAATGAAAAATAAAAGAGACTGAAATAAATTTTAGAAAAAAACGAGAAAAAATAGAGTTGACCTTGTCAACTCTGTGATACCCGTACGAATTTGTTATCCTATGTGCGAATAAATAAGCCATAACTAACTATGGGACAGACAATGACTTTAAGTTGCCGTATAACCGTATTAATTTATGCAAAAGTATTTCAGTACTATGGGTTTTTCAAAATACTGTGTGTGCAGCTACCAGAAAGAGCCAAGAAATTTTAACGAATTTTATCAAGCACATCGGTCCTACTAATATATTCGCTTGTGTAAAATATCAATATTACAGTTTTTATAGATTCTGAGATATAGCCAAATAACTTTTGAAGTTGTGTGGCAGGTACAAGAAGGAGCCAAGTAATTTCGATACCATAGCTTTTATAGTTTCTGAGATATAGACAAATAAATTTTGAAGTTGTATGGCAGCTACCCGAACTGGTACCCCGATCATGTCCAATTTAAATAGGGTTCTGGCACTTACTACAATAAATCGTTTGTGAAAATTTGATGAACTTAGTTCAATTACTTTTTGAGTTATCGTTGGGACGGACGAAAATTTGATAAGCTTAGCTGAATTAGTTTTTGAGTTATCATTGGGACCGGCGAACAGACGGACCGACATGTTCAAATCGAATGTAAGTTCGACATTGATAAAAAAACATACACTTACGTTTCAGACCATTATTTCTTAGCATTACAAACGGAAAGGTAAATCTAGTATGCCCTTCGAATATACGTTCGTGCGGGTATAAAAATGAGAATAAAATGCAAAAATCGTAAAAGTTTTTAAAAGTAAGTCGAAACTTAAAATATAATGAAAATTTTTTTAATTTTGATGGTTTGAATATGTATATGTGAAAAAATATTCAAATACAATATTTTTAGTTTTATTTTTGTTGTTTTATTAATTTTCATAAAAATCAAAAATAAAGTTATAAAATTTCAATATGAAATATTAGAAAAGTGATACAAGACCTTTCAGCGGGCATTAACCGCCAAATACACTAACTTAAAATTTTCTATATAAAATGGGTATTATTTTAAGTGGTTGATGTGAAAATTTGAAAAGTTTATAATTTATGTCGAAAATTTACATAATTATATTAATAGTCCAAAATATCAAAAGGACCACCTAAGAGAGTAACTAAAATATTGAAATTAGACAAACATTGGGGATTGAAATTAATAAAAACAATTTGTTTTGTATTAATTTATATGACTTTTGGACAATCTTAGTTGGTGATCAAAGCTACTGAATTCAATAGGAATCTTCGCAACATCCTTTATCACTATAAATTTGATATTTAATATCACGACGCAACCTAACACATAATATTTATATTTTTTTTTAACTTACCGGTGGATCACCATCATCCTTTTGCCATCTTGGTGTACTAGCCGGATTTGAATCGACATCACATTTTAAAGAAACTTCCATACCTTCACGTAATGGATAACCAAAACCTGGTGTCCTTGATATTGCAAATGATGGTGTATCTAAAATTAAAAAAAAAAAATATAGAAAATTATTTTATAATATAGAAAAATATTTTTCATTATTAATAATTAATAGAAATTTAATGAACATTATAGAATTTCTATATAAGAAACAAGAGCAAAAATATTATGAAAAAAATAAATTAAAAGCATTGCACATTTCATCATACTCTTCATTACTTCATCGAGAGAGCTCTGCGCTTTTTAAACGCTTTACAAATTTTAAACAAATAAAGTTACGAGCACAGAATGTTTTGTTCATACATGAAATATGCCAATAATAGTAGTATAATAATGAAAAATCATGAATAATCAGACAAATCTTAGTTTTTAGAAAAATATTTAGCAAATCCCAAAAATCCTCTTACCACATTTCGAAACCGTATATACCGCTTTATGATTTTCATTCATATTACCATTAACCCACCACAACCAATGCACATTATGCAAACAATTGAACAGGTACAAAAAAAAATTATGATTTTTATTAAATAATCTTAATAATTTTCATTTGATTTGATTTTTATTCATAATAATGTTAAAAAAAATTCGTTAGAACCTAAACCTAACTACTATAACCTTTTCTTTCAATATTGATATTGATTCACCTTTTTTAATATTGAACACTTTGATCATTATGGATGGTATGAAGGCGTAATTGTGGAAAAATAAAGATTTTGTTTTTTTTTCTTACTTTTATTATTTATGACAATTTTTTTTGCTTTTCATATTTGCGACATAAAAAAGGTGCGATTATTACCATGTTTTTAACCTTTATTCATCCAGACATAAATGACACTCGTTGTTTTCATGTTCTAATTTTTTTCTTCTTCTTACTATTTTTTTTTATACTAATATTAGATTTTCTTTTATTTTTTGTGTGTAAGCAAAATATTCTCATATAATAGAAAACAGAGACAGAGACATAACAGCGTTAGGTAAATCTACAAAAAAAAAAAAACAAAACAAAAAACAGAAAAAAAAGGAAGAAAACATAAAAAAATCCAGGTGAAAAGCCTTCATTTTCTTTAAGGTTTTTCTTCTTTTTTTGCTTATTTTTTCATTTTTTCTGTACCTTCTTACTTTCTTATAGCCTGAAATCTTATTACCGGAGTAAAATTGACAGATTATCCTTTAAAAGCTTTAGTATCAATTTAAGATGAGATGATTTTACTTTTTTTTTTCTTTTTTGCAAGTTTTTTGTTGTTTATAATTTTTTTTATTGCCTTGAGGCGAGAATTTTCACCTTTAGAAAAGAAATTTGTATTTTTGTGTCTCTTTTTTATGGAATCATCTACTTTTTTTTTCGTTTTGTAGCTTGCTTTTCTTTTTTTTTTTTGACTGCCAATAAAAAATACAGGAGACACCAACATTAAGTAAAAGCACCAGTTGAAACATTATTCTTTTTTCTGTTTTGAAAAAAATATTAAATATTTTTTCTTTATATTACAGGACACCCGCCCTGTACAGAAAACTAAAAATAAATATAAACGCAGATGATTCCAATGATTTGTAAAAAAGCACATTTTCTCAGTTAAACAAGCGAAGAACAATTAAAACGAGAAAAAAAATAGAGTTGACCTTGTCAACTCTGTGATACCCGTACGAATTTGTTATCCTATGCGAGACTAACTAATGTGCCATAACTAACTATGGGGCATACCATATTAATTTATGCAAAATTTCAGTACTATGTGTTATTCAAAATACTGGTTGTGCCAAACAACTATTGATGTTGTATGGCACCTACCAGAAAGAGCCAAGAAATTTTAGCGAATTTTATCAAGCACATCGGCCCTACTAATATATTCACTTGTGTGAAATCTCAATATCACAGCTTTTATAGTTTCTGAGATATAGTCAAATAACTTTTGAAGTTGTATGGCAGGTACAAGAAGGAGCCAAGTAATTTCAACGACTTTTATGAGACACATTGGCCCTACTAATATATTCGTTTGTGTGAAATTTCAATACCATAGCTTTAATAGTTTCTGAAATATAGTCAAATAACTTTTGAAGTTGTATGGCAGGTACCAGAAGGAGCCAAGTAATTTCAACGACTTTTACGAGACACATCGGCCCTACTAATATATTCACTTGTGTGAAATCTCAATATCACAGCTTTTATAGTTTCTGAGATGTAGCCAAATAACTTTTGAAGTTGTATGACAGGTACCAGAAGGAGCCAAGTAATTTCAACGACTTTTATGTGACACATTGGCCCTACTAATATATTCATTTGTGTGACATTTCAATATCACAGCTCTTATAGTTTCTGAGATATAGCCAAATAACTTTTGTAGTTGTATGGCAGGTACCAGAAGGAGCCAAGTAATTTCAACGACTTTTATGCGACACATTGGCCCTACTAATATATTCGTTTATGTGAAATTTCAATATCATAACTTTTATAGTTTCTGAGATATAGCCAAATAAATTTTGAAGTTGTATGGCAGCTACCCGAACCGGTACCCCGATCATGTCCAATTTAAATAGGGTTCTGGCACTTACTACAATAAATCATTTGTGAAAATTTGGTGGACTTAGCTAAATTAGTTTTTGAGTTATCGTTCGGACGGACGGACGGACGGACAGACAAAGCTAAATCAACTTAGAATTTGACGCTGATCAAAAACATACACTTGAGTCTATATCTAACACCGTTATTTCTTAGCGTTACAAACGGTAAGGCAAATTTAGTATACCCTTCGAACATACGTTCGTACGGGTATAATAAATATTCACAAAATGGTCGTAGTCGATGACTATAACTACAATTGAATTAAAATAAATAAATAAGGTTTTGATGTCAGCAATTTTTTTATAACTCTAGGGCTTTTTTAAAATTTTAGAAATGCCTACAGTTTCAAAAATATAAGGCGTCGAAAACCGAAATTTTCGTAATTTTCACAAACGAAAGCTCGGAAGAATTTGGAGAAGATAAAAAGTAATATTACTCAAATGAAATTGTTAATTAATGTTTAGCAGTGGCTTAAATCTCAGACTGTTACAGACCTTTTGTAATTGTGGCGATGCTTGCTTATGCCGTTTTCCAATATAACAAGAAACTCGCATTTTTTTGGCATACAAAGACATTTAAACAAATAAGAACATTTTGTTTATATTTTCATAAAAATGCGCTATAAGAAGAAAGAACTTATGGTACAAAAAAAAATACTCATAATGCCGTCTGGAGTAACCATTGTCACGTAAATTTTGCTGATAGGTTGGTATATTTTATTATTTTTTGTGTCTCTTGTTTATTTTTTTTAATGCAAGAAATGCAAATTTGAGATTAAGTTAATCTATACATAATATACTTATACATACATAATGTAATAACAATTTTACAATAATTTAATACGTACTAGGTCTATCGTCTATATTTTGATTTATTTATTAAGTTGGTATTCAATATAAGTGCGTGAAAGAAAACCTATTTAAATAATTCAAACAAGAGTAACAACAATTTGTTTAAAAAGAAATTTAGGGAAAAGATTTTTTGAAAATCTCGATGTGTAATATCGTAAAAATGTTTAAAAAATAAAATATTTTTGTACTAATTTAGGTTTTTTTTTACTTTAGAATACATAGTAAGTTAATTTTCTTTAAATTATTAAATATTAAAAAAATAAAAATTAGTTCGAAATTCATTAAATTAAACCAATAATAACAAAAAAAATAAAAAATTTGAAAAACTCAAATCATGTGTTTTTTTTTTGCTTAAACCTAAATTTCTAAAAAAAATTAACTCTAGCCTGGATATCAACCTGTTTCATATTCAAAGTCATTATTATTAATTCATTATTTATCAGAGCAATGGCCGAAGTTGAAGCACAATTTGCACATTTACACGAGAAGGAAGTTTTCTTACCGTCTTTCTTAGGACAAAAAGCAAATTTGGGACAAAAAAATTTTTATTTTTCTTTATAAGTTTACAATGAAAAAAAAAACTCAAATCTCTTACAAATTACTCACACTGAGATCTGGTAGATCCCAAAACGACTTTAAAGCTATAATTTCTTTTGGGTATTTCTGCGAAACACCGTTCAAATTCTTATAATACACTAATAACAAAAAATAAAATTTACATATACTTGTTTACACTAATTTTGAAAGAGAAATCAATGAATTAAATTCTATTGTGGTCTACCAGACTACCCAGACTATATATTGATTCCATACAAGTTTATTCGCGTTTATCTAAGTTTATAATAAGCATAGTATTATAGCCTCGCTTATACCGCTTATTATTTGTACGAATCGCCTTATGAGTTACATGAATTTTCTTAAATATTGGTTTTGTCTATAATCTAGTTGAATAAAACAAAATTCATTTTATAGTTAAATCAATTGTGCTGTCAAAAAATTTTATCTTAATGTAATTTTAGTAATTGAAGTACAAATATTTTTGCAGAAAATTAAAGATTTATGCATAAGAGTTTTTTTCTTTAAAAAGAAATTCAAATTTATTACGTGCCAATCGAGGAAAAAAATAATTGCGATACTTGAATGAAAATCTAAATTTCTTATTTTATTTATCCGAATCTTTGATTTTTAATAGGTTCTCTCAATTTTGATTCTATTTTGTTTTTGCAATTAAATTGTAATATTTTTTTGATCCCAAATTCCAAAATCATTTGAATAATGATAAATAATTTTTACATCAACATTTTTTTTCACTGAAAACCCTCCCATTCCCCATATGATACGTACGAAATTGTAAGCTTTATTATATTGTGTATTATATTGTATAAGTATATAATAGTATATATGTAATTTTTGAACAAATTTTAATATTATTCTAGAATTGGAATCCTATCAAATTTTCACACTTTTTTACAATTTTAACCATGAGAAGAAAGATTGACACGTTTTGATAAATAATTTATATATTGATAAGAAAAACAAAAACAATACAAATATTTTACAAACATATTATTATATACATGTGAAGAGTAGATACATATCGATTATTATGATTTGTATAACACATAATA